AGAAGATAAAACAAAAATGATTTGAAAAAAGTCAACTAAAACAAAAAATTTAAGTTATGTGGACGTAAGTAGTAGGTTTCAGTGTTCGGAATATGTAGTGCTTAAGCAAGAAATCTCAAATGCCTACAGACTGTAGAGCTTGGCTTGCAGCATATTCTCGAAGTGCTCGAGCATCTGGACTCATATCACACTGATTGAGGGCTTCTTCTGAGAAGGAGCGCTTATCACTTGCTTGGTGAAGCCATAAAGCTTTGGGTTCATCCCACCTGCACCCTGAGTCTAATAAATGGTTAGAGTTTTGATTAGAGGAATTCCAACAAAGTACGGGTGACCGAAGTGAAAAAGGTCAAAATGAGGGCAAGATAAGAGTGAACGGTGAGGACCGAGGAGGAAAACCGATATAGTGGTCAATTGCGCAATGGACAGCCATGTGCCAGATGGCCTTTTAGAGAGGATGTGTACCCGAGAGAGAATAGAGACACGAATGGACGAGAAGGGGTCGCCAGGAGTGGTAAATCGCGTGGTGGACACGGCTGTGGCGAACGCCACTCGCATCAAGTGGATCCACATTCTCGATCCTCCTACAATAGTACACGGAATCTCGGTGTTGGTTGAATTCTTAAGGCAAAGTGTTCCCCTCAAGTGTGGACCTATTTTCACGACACTTAAGAATTGGATTCATGAATCTTTGCACTTTTGATACTGGATTAGGGATAAATACTCTCAGCACAAAGATAACGGAAATCTGTCTTCTTTAAAACCAATGGTGAACTTCCTATTGTGTAGCCAACGAAGACACTAAGAAGCTTTCAGACTGTAGCAACCAGAAACGGCATTTGCTGTCCCAACTTTTGCCAAATCTATAGAGCACCAAAATTGGTTGAATGTTTAGCATTCTAGGCAATTCTAAGTACAAATTTTTTAAAATTTTATATCGGAATTCGACAAATTACAACCTCTAATTTCCTCCTTCATGTAACTTTAATGACCGTTAAATTGAGGAACTCTAGTTCACATTTCGGAGTAATTTATGTAGGAGTGCAACAGATATACTTCCATCAAAAACTGTGCTTAATTTTTTTTCGCTACAAATCTCATTTCAACACATTCGCAATAATTCAGAAACCTTGTCCTATGGAAAGCGCCAAGCTTTCGAATCCACAACCAGCCTCCATATGTTTTTTTTTCCTGTCGATTGACACTCGATGCCTAGTTTTTCCACGAACTTCACTTCTTATTATATTGCATTCGAAATCCACAAAGAACACATGTTAGGAAAAAATTTATTTCGGTTTTGACGCACAATTCACTTTTTGCGATCGTTTTCAGTCCGTTGTGAGCTGAAATCAAAAAAAAAAATTTAAATGGAATAGGAGCCAGAACAAACTAAATTTAACCATCAAATGGTCATGCTTGAAAAAAAAATTAAAAAATTGGGACAATTTTTGCTGGCCATGGCCACACTATTATTCATCAGCCATTCTGTTTGCTCGATGGACTCCTACCTCTGCTTCCAAGGATTTCAAACAAAGTAAAAACATATTTTATAAGAGTGCCAAAAGCGGCTGCAAATTAAAAAAAAAACTGTGGAGCTTATAAAATACAAAAAAAAATGTTGCATTTTGGTCAATTTGGGCGGCAAATAGATCTTAGGGGTAGAAGTCTGTTGTATTTCTTCACGTCTGGTGCCCTACTTCTTTGCGGCTCATTTGAGGAAAGATGCATAAATATACGTACGTTAGAGCGTATTGTGTTACTATCTCAGTTGCAATAAACCAAAGCTATTCCATCATAAAACCTCGATT